AATAAATCCATTCTACCTGTAAATATATTTCTACTGTCAAATCATTGAGGCACCACAAGTTCCTTGTTAGTCATCTTCATTCCGATGAATTCTCTGACATTGTGTGTGAACTTTTTAGAATTGAATAAGGAATATTTTTCTATAGCATTAAGTTAGTCATGTATCCACATGTTTAATTTCAATTTAATAAAAATGTTTAAAAGAATTGAATATTGAAAATATCAGTCAGGTACAGATTTTAAGCTCTCTTTAACCCCCTCTAATTCTTGCTTCCTTGTATATTTTAAAAAATTATGTATTACAAACTTCTCTTATAGATTGTTATAATTCTTGTAAATGTTTTTACATAAAAGTTTTAATTATCTGTAATTAGCATAAAATGTGTAAATACTTACAACTATGAATATAATAACAAAAGTATTTAAATCTTGTGACACATAAACACTTATTTATATGAGTAAATACTTACAACTATGAATATAATAACAAAAGTATTTAAATCTTGTGACACATAAACACTTATTTATATGAGCTTAGCTCCAAATCAATTCTATTTGTATGTTCCCCCCACAGCTGGCATTTGTTACAAGTCCTCCAATCCTTGCAGTATTGTCACCTTTCTCCCTATCACACTGAGAGCATTCACGTCAGCTTTGCCTCCCAGCTAGAGGCCCTGGGGCTCTGGCACTGGGCAGCGTTTGTTCTCCTGCACATCAGGGACACTGGCCACAGGCAGCAAGCTGTGATGAGCTTGTTACAGCGTCACATTCAGCTGGGGGACAGTCTAGACGAGAGGGAGACCTTCCTAGTGAATGAACTTCACATTCCAAGTGAATGGCTGCATCAAGCCAAGGTAAACACAATTTTGTTTTCTTTTGCTGTAACCCAGTGTAACATACAAGTTTTAAAACCCCTGTAATATTTGGTGACTAGTAATCACTGAACCATTCCGTGCACGTTAGCACGAGATTTTTGCTGGTCGGGGACTGACCATGAGGTGGACACCTCAGTTGATCTTAGACTCTTGTAGAGAGAGGAGTGTTATGGATATTTTTGACAATAGAGCAATGTACAAGTATGGAAGTTATTATAATTGATTTGTATTCAGGACTTATTTCATTGGATGTAATTTGTGATGACTGAAGTTGCCAACATCTTTTATGATCTATTATTTTATGTAATAAAAACCATGTCTGCTACCAGTGAGTCTATTACTTATTCTAAATATTGTAGTTAGAGAGTTCAGCATGTTTGTGTTCTCATGCACTAGCAAATCTTGTGCGCGAGTGAAAGTATTTAACTAAGAAGACAAAGAATATTATAGCATCTACAAGAGGTATCTACAACACACAACGACATTCGAGACATCACGCCTATAACAAAACCAGGCTGTGACACCCAGGAAACTTTGCATTGGCTTCTTGTGCTAGAAATTAGGTTAGATCAGGACAGTAGATGCAAGTTATTAAGCTTTTACTCCATCCAGATACCCATACTATATTTATATTTAAATTACACTGCTAATACTGATTAAATCAGCAAAAAAGGGCATCAAAGATTACTACGAAAAATGTCCTCATTTAATGTTAGTGAAAGGCCTTGGCGATGTTTTACCACTGTCACATCTGCAGTATTTTAAGTTGTTATATCACTGCCTGGTATGGCAATCTGTAATATTAAAAATAAAATGAACTTCATAGAATCCTAAATGCTGTTGATAAGGCATTGGCCAAAAACAAACCTAATATAGGCAGCTGTTTGAGAAATGCATTCATAAGAAAGCTAAAAAGATTTTAAAAATAAAAAATCACCCTCAGGGTCAGGATTTTGTGATTTTACCATCACAAAGAAGATACAAGACACTGATACCAAAGACAAACAGACAAAAAAAATCTCTTTTGTTGCCCCTTGGCAATCGAATCATCAAATACAATTCAACTATCTGATATAAACAATTAACGTGTAATTTACGAGTGAGTCTGGTGTGAATGTATATTTTGATTTACTAAAGTTATAAGGCTTTGTTTGATGTAATGCACAAATTGTAAGACAAATTTCCTTATGGATAATAAAGATTATTATTATGATTGTAAAAATGTAGTTTAAGGAAATAATGTATTTCTTTGTGTTATATGTAATAAATGTATTGTTTGTTGTAGGCTATCAGGGCACATCTAGAGGGTAACTATGCTACTGAGGCGAAACATTGGATATTAGCTGGACATTACAGCAGAGGCCACAGTTTGATTCTACAACACTTGGCTTCAGATGCTATCATCAATGGTGAGTTGTAATACATTTTTTAACATTTTCTTAAGGGAGAGATGTGTATGAGAAAACCTTAGCTATGGATTACAACTTCTATAAGCACTTCTGGCTAAACTAAAATAATTTTCATTACTTACGCAGATATGAAAGGGGGATTCTTTTTCTCAGACAGCTCAGGTACTATGCATACATGTGCCCTCACATAGTATCTATAACACATCATTGAAATGTTATCTGAACTCTCTTGTGAATGATATTTCCATATTTATAAACCATGCTTATTTCTGAACACTTCCAGATGAGGATATGTTTTTAAAGTCTTATTTGGAGCAGCTTGCACCCCCAGAGCGTTCTCTCAGTATATTGAACTGGTCCACATCAGGGAAAGTCTTTCTTGATTTCATCAACATTCGGCAGCGAATAGATCAACTGAAACAGGTTTGGATTTATTTTTCATCTTTAGAATGTTGAACATTCTGCATTTGCGACTTCAACTACTGCCATTGATTGCCATAAGCCTAATTTGAATAAATTTTGAGTATTCAAACTTCTTTTTTTTTTATTTTAGTCCAAACTTGTGGATTAATGGTTTATTTTTGAAAAAAAAAAAAAATCTTAATTTTACAATTTTTTGTAATCTTCATTTGTATTGAGGATTAAAATTTCAAATAATAGGATATATATTTTGGTCTTTCCCTTTAGTCCAGTGGTAGTTCATATATCACCAGTTTGTCCTGAAGTGTCTCACTAATGTTTTCAACACCTGTCCTTAAGGACATTTGCATATATTTATCTAACTCTAATCGATTGGAATCAAATGGAACACTCCTTCCTATGGAATTTCTTAAATCTCTAGTTAGGAAACGTTTTCTTGAACTTTGTCAGTTTTGAACTACACAAAGTAAAAGCCTTAAAGTTTGTAATTTAATTTTAAAGTATTTGTTCTAGATGCCTTTCAGTTTTGATATTGCAGATACTTAGTTCATGAATGTAAAAATAATGTCTACTGTCTTCTACATATTCATATAATGTACAAAAAAAATGATTTTTATGAACATTATTTGCTTGCCTTTAAAAACTTCATTTTTTTGTATTTGATGTTTCAGTCGGAGCCTACGGCTTATGACCTTGAAGAGCTGGAACCAGATGTTTTGTGCTTGTGTAACAGGGTGAAAAACCTGCCATGCTATAATGCCAAAGACCGTCTGTGTCAGGCGGAGATGTCCAAGACTATAGCCAACTTACTTAGGACTTTGGTTGTTCTTTGTGGGGAATCACCTGTCCAGTAAGACATTTTGATCCTAGTTTGTTTAAGGAAGGACATTTAGTTTCCTTAGTTCTTAGTTGGTAAATAAAAGGAAATAATTTTACTTGTGCAAATGTGTTATCTGGCCTAGACACAGCTCCTGTACTTAATAAATGTCCACCAAATAGTTCAGGCTAATAGTGGCACTTACTAAAACATAATCTATGACTAACTTCTTTATTGATCCTTGTTGGAAATGTGTTTTGATTACAAGGACTTTTTGTTCTTCTCAATTAACTCTTTCTCTCCGTAATTATTTACCACATTCTGATGGAATCAACGTTTGTGTTGTCGGTTAGGAGAGAAAGAGTTAAAAAAAAAAAACATTCTACAAAAGAGAAAGGCAAAGATGTTCATTGAGTGACTACACTACTAAGCTCTGAAATCTCAAAATATGTAATTAACAGTTTGACAAGCTGAATATTCATGTCTACTTTCATTACAATATAGTTTCTGCATATGTATGAAGAATATTAGTAGTTTTTAATATATTGAATTTAGCTAATACTTTTTAATGAGGACAAAACAAATGGCAATATATTAATGCAGATTATTTTGTACTAGCACATACTTAAAGATCTATTGACTGTATTTAGATATACACAAATATATACTCAGTCAACACACACACAACTTATTAATTTTAAACAAATATATAGCTCCTCCTGAGTCACTGGTTTTGGTTTCATCTTGAGACGGGGCAGAATCTTGCTAGCTGATAGGGCAGCTTTCATTTTCTTTCTCTTGACTACGGCTGCTTCATTTCTTTTGCTCTTGGCGAGGTTTATACCAGCACCACCACGCACATTCTGTCTCCCTGCTGTCCTGTCTTGTTAAACACATACACACATGCATACAACTAAATGTCACCATTTGATTAAGTGCAATCAAGCTTCAACAACTTATAACTTGCAACTTTTTTTTGTTTATTTTACCAGATTGCTGACCAAGTGCATTGCAGATCTTCCCATGCCTGAAGACTACATGCGCCAAGAGTTACAGGCCTTGACCAGTGCTTATTTGCTAGAAATAGTGTAGGCTTTTTTTTTTTGTAGGCTTTAGTTGCTCCTGAGAAATAATTCAACCAAGAAACATCTTCAAGTTGATCTTTGAAACAGTTCTCCAAAGTAAATGCAGCATCAGTGGCTAAGTTACAAAGTCTTTCTAAGACAATAGTCCTCTGTTTGTATTCTGTGTAACATACATATTTATAAACCTAGCAAATAGCTAAAGTTTAATTTTAAATGATCAAAAACTATTTGAGGAAATCAAAATTTCCACATGTTACTTGGTTTTAGTTGGACATATAGAAATTAAAGTTTGTATGCTGTGCTTTGTAAACTTTTAAACTTTTGTCTATGTAAGAATTTTATAACAAGAAAACTCTTGTCTTGCTTGCTTTTTTTTTTTTTCTTTTCTACAAGTAAATAAGACTGTGCTGAATCGATTGAAATATATTGTATTCACTGAAAACTCAAAAACAGTTTAAAATATCTAGATACTAAATCTCTGATGTTCCAAGCAGTGTAGATCCAGTCCTGACATTATAATGCACCTATGAACTAATTAGAAGTTGTTATATTCTGTGCTTAAAAGTTTTTCCTTGGAATGTAAACGTTGATTTGCCATTTCAAAATGTTTTCACTTGATCTAAATTTAGCCTACTGAAGAGACAGTTGTTTTTGGGTTTTTTTCATTATCAATATAATACATTCTGATCCCATATTTGTCTAAGAAAAACAGAAATTTTGTTTACAAAAAAAAATATTTTAATTGTTTATACAATAATATGTCTTTTGTTTCATTGTGTTATAGGATCCTGAGGACTATTTAGCTTGTGTCCTGCATCTCTTGAAGACTTATTTTGTACATAAATTTTCCAAGCTTGTAAGCAAATGTACATTTTATAGAAACATTGAAACTAAAAATGTACATTTTATAGAAACACTAATAGGCTTAGAATAAATGCATCTAAAATTATTGAGTTTTGAAATTTGAAAAAGTAGGCAAGAGTTTTCTTGAAGCAATAGATGTCTTTGTTTGCTATATTAAGACTTTGATTAGAACATAAGATTGATTATTAGATGTTAAAGTTTAAAGCTCTTATTAAAATATTATGGAGTTGGTTACAGCAACATAAAAAACAAATGCCTGATGTAAATAATAAAAAAGATATTTTTTTGACATCATCAATTGTATGCATGAAGCTGAATGTTGGAATGAGTGAATCTGGTTTTAACAGTTTTGTGATTGTTCCTCGGTGACATATGTATCTGTGTTTTACTAAGTGACTTAATAAAGTGATGAATGAAGTTGATTTGTTTCTTGTTCAGTTTTATACACATTTATTGTGTTCTCTTGTTTTGTGACTGGTTTTTAGTTGAAGAATTATAGAGTAGCCAACAATGAGTCAAATCATCCAAGTTTGTCATAGGAATATCAATACAATGAAGTTCAGTCTGACATAGGAAGAAGGACTGTGTACACATTTGTCCTAGCATGTGGAATAAGAAACGCCTTTATGTTGTTAATGTCATTGCAAATAGTTAATAATAAGTCTTTTGGGTGTCATTCCAGTCTGGCAAACTGTTAATCGTGTCTAGTTTTTATATTGCAGCTTTTGCATAAATTTATTGGTACAACATTGGTTAGGCAGAAAATATCTTAAAAGCAACTTTTCAAATGGTTAGGCCTACATTCAAAAGTTGAATATTGCAGCTCTTGTATGAAATCGGTGATAGGCTAAAGTTTTTTTGTTTTTTTTTAAAAAACAGAACTTTTGTGGTGTTCGATATTCTTCATTGCTTTAGCCTCTCAGTTATACGCGTTTTCTGCGACAAATGTTACAAAATGTCTAGGTTAAGCTGGGAGCTTATTGTAACAAGGTCAAATGCTGCACACTGTTTATTTTACACGTTTCGGATGTTTCTTCAGAATGGACCTCCTTCACCAATCGTAAACAAACAACATTTAGCCACGTGATCTTATTGATAAAACAACGGAAAAAAAACTGTCACGTGACAACCATCATGAATTAAACATGAGATCGTAAATTGTATAGAAGAGATAGAGCACCACATGGCTAAATGTTGTTTGTTTACGATTGGTGAAGGAGGTCCATTTGGCCTACTTCCTAGCCCAAGCCCTCAATAGGGCGGTATACCAAAGGATTCGAACCCGAAACCATCGAGAAAAACCAGAGAGTATATCCGCAGCATACCACCCGGCCAAGCCGACATCCTCTTCCTTAATCGACTCGAAGACTTGTTTATAAAGGGCTTCTATATGTTCTATCAAGTCGTATGGAGATCAACTATTACACATAGTTAAAATGTTTGCTGGAGATGATCCCCCCCCCGGGGTCAAGGTCACTTGAACGTTTCATTCACTAAATTTTCATTCTTTATTTCATCCTTCAAATTTTTTTTTTCTTATCTTATATAATACAGACGTTACTTCAAAAAAAAAAAAAAAAGATGATTACGTCCTACGCGTCAGTTTTTAATTTATTTTTTTTTTTTAAATTAAATACGCCAATGTGTGTAAGTGTGTAGGCCTATGTTGATGTGTACTGATACACTGACACTACTAGACTATAATTATAATGTCAATATAAATAGCCAACAAGAGCAGATCTTACAACAGGTCACGTGATCTCAAAATTTCGTGCCACTCAAACTTATTACATTTTCACGGTCCCACAGCTCTAGAGCTCTTTGCATCGAGGCATTTTTTTTTTTAAAACAAGAAAATTATGTCGTAAAATATTAGAAGTCAAGATACAGAAAAAATGTCCGATAGACATAAAGCTAACCCTAGGCTTATTAAGAATGTAGACATTATGATTATCGCTATCAATAATGAGGTAAGCCTACTTATTTATTATTATTTATTTATTATTATTCATTCATAACTGATTAATTTAATAAATCTCCCTCTTAAGCTAGAATTTATAATAAATTTAAGTAGACTAGGTAGACATTTTCATCGAATGGATTAGAATTTTAAATTCGGATTCAACTAATAGACTTTCATTCAATATCTAGAGTAGGTCTATATCAACTATATGCCCTTCTGTATCTATGAAAGATTAGGCCTTTAAGTCACAAAGAAAATTGGAGAAGTGAACAAATAACGTTGGAAAGAAATGAAAGTTCCATAACTCTTGTCTAAATCATTAAAAAGTCCGTGCAAAGCGAATTTTGAAAGTAGTAGAGGTATCGATGATAGTGGATCTAGATCTACTCGAATCTAGATTAGATCTATTATTTCATTTTTGTACACAAATAGAAAATGCAGATCTAGAATCTAGTTATAAACAATGGAATTAGTTTACCTGACTAGATACGCAGAAACAGGTTTCTAGTATATTTTACATTAAATATTTAATCAATGTAATGCAGCATAAAAATTTTTTTTCTAGAAGTTTACATTCTATTCTTTAGGTTAATATTCTATATCTAGATAATAGAAATATGCATCCTCCGTTTGGGACCCCTCAACTCAAGAAAACATTAAGAAACTGGAAGACACAAAATAGAGCAGTGAGATTCATAACAAATGAATATTCACATTTGACTAGAGTAACACCATTAGTAAAATCACTAAATTTAGAAAACCTTCAGGACAGAAGACTCAGAAGTAAACTAGCAATCATACATAAAACACTGAACCATAATTTCAAATACAGAAACAAAATTTAATAAAATACTCTGAAAGACACAAAGATAAAGGCACATTCCTCGTCCCATATGCTAGGACAAATTTGTACAAATACTCCTTCCCTAGTGCTATTAGAGCATGGAATGGGTTGCCTGAGCTAGCTAGGAAAACCAGTGACTTGGCAGAATTTAAGTCATTAATATGCATGACGCGTAGGACGTAATCATCTTTTTTTAAGTAACGTCTGTATTATATAAGAAAAGTAGATAGGAAATAATAGGATCATTTGTCACAAGTCAAGTCCAAGGTCCTCGAAGCTCGCTAAGATCTTCCCTTGTGTCTGAGTTGGAACACTACACAGACACAAGAAATTGTACTAGATCTCATCTATAGATCTCGAGTCTGTGATCTATCTAGACTAGAACATGAAACGATCAATGTGCTCAGCAAGCTTAGTTAGGAGTATTGACAGTAGCGTAAGTATACAATTACAAATGTTAATTTAAAATTAGCCTAAATGTAATTTTTAACTAAGAATGCAATTTCACAACTTTAACCTTTAGACTTTGAGATGCACACTTGGGCATTGGCAAATGTGTCTGTGTCAATGAAATTCAGCATTTCATTCAAAAACAATGAAATGATGTATGTACATAAACTAACATTTAATTTGATCCTCTTAGGGCTGATTTAAACATTTCTCTATCGCAATACATTTTTATCTTTAAAATTGTGTCTGTGTTCTCCAAGCACCTCAACTCTTGTCTTGGGGTTTTGTTTATCTCCTTGTTATTGCATTTTTTTCCTTTGTAATTAATTGCGTCTTATCAATGCCTTTTAACATTTATACCAAAAAGTTTGATATTGGATGCTTTGAAGCACCTTCAATGGATTGTTCATATTCATTTTTTATGACATTGCATATTTTATCTTTAAAAGTCATTAATAGCTAATTCTAGAGATGTTTTAGACAAATACACATGAAATATAGACATTTAACTCATGCTTGGTTCTTCTATCTACTTTATTGCTTCTTTAATTTATTACACATTACCTTTATTTTTTATTCTTTATATATTTATTAGGTGCTTGAAACACTTAATGGTTACTAGATATTTATGTGTACTACAATTGTTTGCAACACCTATATCAACTTAGTTCACTTTCTTTTCTATTTATAAATAGTATTATAGTCTTAGTAATCAAATGCTATCATTATACTTTTTAATGTATACCAAATGTTAATTAAAAATGTTCCTAAAATAGGAAAGCCACTAACAACTCCTACTTTTATCTTTTTATTGCATTATTTCTTTTGTATTTAAATGCTATTTTCAGGCCACTAAGCATATCAAATATTACATGGTTGAAATTCTAACACATATCAAATATTACATGGTTGAAATTCTAACACATATCAAATATTGGATGGTTGAAATTCTAACACATATCAAATATTAGGTGGTTGAAGTGTGTATGAAATACTAGATGGTTGAAACACATCAAATATAAACTCTTAAATTTCTCTTTTTTAATGCATTGTTTATTTGCATTTAATTTTATTGCATGTTTCCTTTATAACCAAATGCAATGAAATACACATTTACTGTGATGTTTCACAAAACCAAAATTAACTCGTACCTGGTTCTTCTATTTACTTTATTGCTTTTTATTTACTTTATTACAAAATACCTTTTTATATTTAATACAAACATTAGATGCTTGAAACACTTGATGTATACTTATCATTATATTTATATGTACTACAGTTGTTTGCAAAGCCTATATCAACTTCTTAGTTCACTTTACTTTCTATCATTTATAAATGTTTTCTTAGTTATCAAATGTTATCTTTATACTTTTTAAGGTATACTAAATGTTAATTAGTAATGTTCTTACAATAAATAGGAATGCCACTAACAACTTCTATTTTGATCTTATCTCCAATTTATTGCATTGTTTCATGTTCTAATTGAATGTTATCAAGCCACTAAGCATATATTGAATTTTAGATGGTTGAAACACATATAGAAAATATTAGATGGTAGAAACACTTATCAAATATAAACTTTTTTTTTAATCTTATTTTATTTCTCTTATTTAATGCATTGTTTATTTGCTATTAAATTTATTGCATGAAGTTTCCTTTATAAACAAATGCAATAAAATATTGACATGTACTGTGATGTTTTGCATAGCCAATATTAATTAGTACTTGGTTCTTCTACTTTGCCTTTTTACTTTATTACAAGATACCTTTTTATATTTAATAAAAATTAGATGCTTGAAACACTTGATGGATACTTGGTATTTATATGTAAATAGTATCTTCTTAGCAATCAAATGTTATCCTTTACCTTTTAGTGTGTACTAAATGCTAATTAGAAATGTACTTACAATTAATAGGAATGCTAATAACAACTATTTTGATCTTATCTTTTTATTGCATTATTGTTGTTTTTTGTAATTGAATGCTATTTAGAGGCCACTAAGCATATCAAATATTAGATGGTTGAAATTTATAAGTACCACAATAGTTTGCTAAGCCTATATCAACTTATTAGTTTACAGTTTACTTTTTCTATTTATAAATAGTATTATCTTCTTAGTATTAAAAAATTACCTTTATACTTTTTAATATATACTAAATGATGA